CAGACACACACACACACACACACTTTGCAGATGCTCCCTGATTCATTCTTTCAGTAAAGTCATTCTGGACCGATGCAGTTAACGAACTAGAAATCAATGGGGAACGTCAGCGCACCTTAACAGGGTTATCTTCTGAATGATGGTCCATGTAGAGACAAAGAGCTCTAGGGCGGGGCTACATGCTGATTGACAGGTCTCTAATAGACCATAGGGCAGGGGACGCTCTAGGGCGGGGCTACATGCTGATTGACAGGTCTCTAATAGACCATAGGGCAGGGGACGCTCTAGGGCGGGGCTACATGCTGATTGACAGGTCTCTAATAGACCATAGGGCAGTGGACGGTCTAGGGCGGGGCTACATGCTGATTGACAGGTCTCTAATAGACCATAGGGCAGGGGACGCTCTAGGGAGTGCCATCATGGTCTCTGCTAGAGACGCGTAAGGTGTCTCCGTGTCCTCCTCAGTCCAGATATGGTCCCCAGACCAACGAGTGATGAGACATTTTCGACAGAAAAGTCCCCCAAAACGAGCTTGAAATAGACGGATGGGCCATTGAAGAAGAATGTATTGAACTTTTGTTATCAAAAGTCTTGCCAGTTCACGACAGTGAAGCTAAACTTGATTATGACGAGGAGTCATGTGACAACGATTGAGTGAAACTGAGTGAACTTCAGGAGGACCACAGAGCAGATCAGTTCAGTGTGTAAACGGTTGGAAGAACCGAGGATTTTTAAAATGTAATTTGCAAACTCAAATCCCCCGAGAGGAAAAGGTCCACATGTTGGAGCTGGTTGGCAGATACGTTTGTCTCACATGACGTGTGGAGGAGCGAGGATCTCACCTCACGGCTCTGATGACGGCCTTCAGCGGCGCCGACAGGTCCTCCACCGTTACGTCGCAGTGGCAGCCCCTCTCGTCAAAGGAGTCCTCCGCCGCCACGGCCGCGTCCACTGAGACACACACGGGAGGACATCAACGCTCCATCGCTCTCCCTGTCCTTTACACCCCCTCATCACGATGAAGACGTCTCTGACCCCCCGCCCCCCCAGCTGCGACTCACCGTCCGGCGCCGCGCTGCGGGTCTGGCTCTTCAGCCTCAGCGAGGGTCTGAAGCGGGTCCGGTCGTTGAAGCTCCAGCTCTTCTGCACCTTGGCCGGGCTCCCCCCCGTCGGCTCGCCCGCCCCCTCGTTGCTGGGGGAGGAGCGCTGGCGGTCATTGACGGACGTCTGCCTGCTCTTCATGCTCTGACCGCGTGGACTCGCCATCCGGACACGCTCCTTGAAGCTCAACTTCTGGCTGCAGTGGGCGGGGCCGGGGGGGTTAAGGGGGGGGTGTTAAGGCGAAGGGAAGTGAGTTCAGGAGGAAGTTGATGCAGAAAGTGTCTTGATGGGGTCCAGAGGTCAATAGAGAGAGGGATGTGATCAACACCCGGTTCCCCCTCAGAGGTTCCAGAGCGCGGACGGCGTTCTAACCCCCCCAGCTGACCCGCCCAAACCACGGAGCCCCCCAGCTGCCGGGTCACCAGGCCACCGAAACACTCAACGGAGCGCGTGATCCGCTGGAGGCGCCGTGGAAGCAGAGAGACACTTTACGCCATCGATGACGATAATCAATCTACGGGTACGTTTCATTTGTTCAACTGGAGGGTTCTGACATCAAACATCACAAACATTGAATCTTTTTGACAACTGAAGGGCGTGGAAAGTTTCTTCCCACGATGCCTTTCTGCTTCGTGTTTCACATCGATCACCATGGTACGCGCTGCTGGCGTTTAACTACAGAGAAACCAGGTGCATTTCGCCCGTTACGCAGACAAGTCCTGCAAGAGGGAAGAAGGGAGTTTGTCCTCCTGCCTCCTGGTCACTCATCCCCCCGGTGACCAGGAGGCAGGACAGAGAGGATGCTGGGTAGCTGTAGCTACCTCCCGTGTGTATAGAAATACTATTAAATAAACAGAGAAAGGGCAGCAGAGGAGAAGATGGAGGGAGTGGACATCATCTATACCAGAGGTCTTCAGCAGGGGGTCCGTGGAGGTACTGCAGGGGGTCTTTAAATACAGATCACCATGAATCCAACGCATTGTATCGAACGGATAAATTGATGGAGGAGACGTTGTCTTTCAGTCCCACAGCAGCTCTGAAGCTGGACCCGGTTCCCTCATCATGCCGATACGACATCACGGGCAATCAGATACGTTCATGCTCACGTCTAACGAGCGCAAAGCTCAACAATAAAAGATGGCGGACCAAACTCCGTAGAACAGGGGGTCCCCGCTCCATCTCGCCATCAGTTTGGGGGTCCTTGGCCTGAAAAACGTTGAAGACCTCTGAACTACACGATGTGACAAACATGGACTGTGTGTGGTGGTCATTAAAAGAGATGCAACACTTGTGTGTGTGTGTGTGTGTGTGTGTGTGTGTGTGTTGGATGTTTTTGGAATCAAGCTTTTAACGGAGCAGGAGGATTTTAAAAAGCTGTGAAATGACAAGAAGAGGTCGAGGAAGTCGGTTCCCCCTTAAAGAGAAGGTTGGATCATTTTGAATAAACTGTGTACACACACACACACACACACACACACACACTAGCTCCAGATTAACCCCCCCGCCGGTGTTTACGGGTGTGCTTACACCCAACACCAGCCTCTCCGCTGACCCCCGGAGACCCCGGAGCCTCTCTGTGGAGAGAGCGCCACGCGGCCGCCGCCGCCGCCAAGGCGTCACGCGCTGGGTTGGCTTTACTGGAACAGCTGGTCCCAAGCAAGGGGGGGGGGGGGGGGGGCCTAAATAAAGTTGGTGTGCTTTAGCATACACGACAATTAGCCCTCTTCTCTTCTGTCTCTCTCGTCTATTACCGGGAGACCACAAAAGTTGAGACACCCTCCTGCGAATAGAGACGGCACTTTATACATAAAATAAGAGAGGAAACTATACTGCGCGCACCCCCCAGATGATTACTGTGTCGCCGGCTGCGTTGAAGTGAGCATTTGGTTTGATTTCAGAACAAGAAGCCCCACCATCAGGAATATAGTCCTTGCGAGTTTGTGTGAGTGCCCAGACCCTACCACACGCTACGACGCCCGCGCCCCCGCTTTAGTACGAAATCATTCGCTGTCAATTGAAGCCACAGGACTTTTGGGCGTTTGAACAGAACATACAAACTCAATCGCCCGGGGTGCTCCCACCGAGCGTCTGGTCGTCTGGGTCGGCGGAGGGATAAACAAT